CCCCCCCCCCGCCGGCTGCCTGCTCGTTTCCAGGGTGCAAATGAGGTTCTTTGCCCCCCACCAAATAGCAACAGTTTGGCCACGCTCAAGTGGAATAAAGTAGACCAGGCTGGATTCCCCAGCTGAGGCGGCGGAGGCAGCGCTTAGCTGGGAAGGAAGGTGACAGATAGGGACTGCTCACGATCCAGCCGAGATGCTTTAACTGTTTCCTTTTGGAGGCAGCAAAACATGCTGTCAAGTAAACAAGTTGGGAGCTGGCTGCTCGCGGGGAGACTTTGGCTGAGTCCAGGCCGTCATGGACGCCTGCTTCTTCCCTTTCCCTCACGCCCGACTGCCCTCTCCAGCCCCATTTTGGGCATTTCCGAGACCTCCCGCCTTTCCCCCCCTCGCGTATTTGGGCGCCTACAGATCTCTTAACTGCTCCCGATAATTCGGAGTTCCGTAGTGAAGGGAGAGGAGAGGGCGTGCGTTTTGGGGAAGGGGCTTCTAAGATCATGCAGATCCATCCATGTATTTGGAAAATTGAACTCTGGCTGCCTTTTGCCTGGTTCTGTCCCTTCTGAGTGTGACGTGCGATGGCTTGCCCTTTTCTTCCTGTTATTTTTCTTCTGTAGGATTGGTGAGGGGGAAGAGGGCAAGAGCTCAGGGCGCCTGCCCATTCTTTCTCCCACTCCTCAGTGGCCGGTGACCCCCTCCACCCTGCCCCATGGAGAAGGGGTAGATGGCACGTGTGTTGAGGCTTGTTCAGAGATCCCGCTCCCTCTTTCCTGGCAAGGCCCCTGTCCCTTGGGAACCTCCAGGAGTGGACAGGATGCTGAGAAAGATTTGCTCTGGCATGCTGACTGGGCTCTGAGGAAAGCGCCTCACAGGCAGGAGGCCTAAGGTGCTATTGCCCTGCTCACCCAGTCTCAGCCCTCCCTTTGCTTGAGCCAGGTGCGATGGGGCTGTGAAGCCTGGAGGAATTGCTGCTCTGCTCTCTGGAAAGCCCGCCAGCCCTCTTGGCTTAATGGAGACTGCTTGTGTTCTTGCAGCTGACAGTTTGAGGGAAATGGACAGCCCAGGAGATGTCCCTGACTCCTGGCCCAGGAGAAAGGCTTGACCCATATCTCAGCTCTGCTGTCCACCCCTCACCATGTTCAGTCCGGCCAGGGAAGACGAGAAAAACCGCTGGTGTGGAAGGGGAGGGCAGGGGCTGGGGAAGCAGGATGGACGCAGTGGTGTACCCTTCCCCGAAGGCCACAGCATACAGCATCCCCAAGGATGTAGGGAGGAGACTGTCAGGGAAGCTCTGACTTGGAAGTATACCCTCTGGGGGGCTGTGTGGAGAGGGTTTAGTGGCTTATTGGCCAGTCTCCGTCCTCCTGAGCTGGACCTAGGGGTGTCCAGAGGGCTGAGTAGGCCGGGGGCTGGAGTGAAGGTGCCCTAGGTGCCCACTGAGAGGCCCTGGAAGCCTGTGAGCTTCATCCAGCTGTTCTCTGCTTCCGGGACTTGTGTATCTGTCAGAAGCCAGTGGGAGGCAGGGAGGGTCACAGTCACCACGTAGGCCCTTTATAGCCATGCAGAGGTGTTCCTCCTCTGAAAACCAGGCTTGGGGAAGCAGTTTGATGGGGACAGCTGTGTCCGTCTTTCTAGGCTGCTGGAGAGCTGGGGGGGGGCTTGGGTGGCCTCTTGTCTTCTGTTGCTTTAGAGGATCCCAGGAGGGAATATAGAGGGAGAAAAAGGAGGGTGTGGGTTTGGAACCCTTCTGTGTGTGTTCCCATTCTTGTTTCAGGACTTGGGCCCTGGCAGGCCATCAGGACTCTGTCCTAAATCCACCTAAACCCCAGCATAAAAGAGCAAGGAAACTGGATTCCCACAGGAGTTGTGGGAGTGGCAGGTGGGGAAGAGCCAAAGGTCATGGGTTGGATGACCCTTCCTGACCTGTCTTCTCCCCAGAGCCCTGTTATATCTATGGCTGATATTGACCAAACTCAGGGAAGCACCCAGCTTTCTACTGTAGAGGCAGAGAGCCCAGCAAGGAGGGGAGTCACGTTCACTTTATGGAGAGCATGTTCTGATCCCTGTGTTATCCCAAGGAAATGGAGGCACCAGGGGTGAGGCAACTCTCCCTAGGCACATAGCCCAGGAGTGGAGCCTGGCTTAGGACTCTGGTGTGTTTGGCACACAATCCCAGGTCCCTCACTCCTGGGTCTGCCTGCAGGAAGGAGGACCTTGCCTTGTCCTGGCCTGGAAAGGCCTTCTTCAGATTCATGATTTCCAGAAATAGGAGGTACAGGTGCCCCCAGTGCCCATCATTTGGAAGCTCTATATCTGCCCTGGGGTACAGCTTGGGCAGATTTTGAGGAGGAAGATGCTGGTACCTCCATGGTTCAACTCCTGTTCCTCAGGAGGATCTAGCGTCCCTGCCTCAGGTGCTAAACTGATTAAGTCTGAGTTTTTAGAGGGACAAGGCTGTGGTGTTGTGGTTCAGCTTCTCAGGATAGTATGTAGAGCCTGGCTGAGGGATCAGAAGGACATCAGCTATAGGGGATAACAGCAGAAGTGTGGGTCTCATCTCCACCCCTGTTGGAGCCAAGCTGGTCCAAAGTCCCCCGACCCTCTTGACCTCTTTCTGCCTGGAAGGTCAATCCTTTTGCCATTGGAGCTCTTGATACAAGGTAGCCTTGCCTAGAAAAGGCCATACATGGCCACACCCAGCCAGATTGGACGTCACAAAGGCAGGAGGGTGGCAGCCAGGATGGTGGGCTGTCTGGGTGCCCTCTCTAGTCCAGGCCTGTGGGGCTGGGCTGGAATGGTTTGTTAGAGAAATGGCTGTTAACACAGGGGGAGAGGATGACGTCTCAGCCAGGTGTTCTTGGGCCTGGCTATGTGGGTTTGTAGGGATCATGGGTTCTTGGCTGGGATGCCAGCTTTCAGCTGGATGTAACTGAGCTGCCACAGAGTCCTGGTGTTTGACAAGCTGTCTAGTACCTTTATTTCCCCTGCTCTTCCTGAAGACTATCTCTGGCTGGCTGAAGGATCATTTGGGGCTTTGGCTGCTCTATGTAGCCTTTATTCTCTGCCTTTCTAAGGATCAAGGGGGAGACCCAGCTCTAACAATTGAGAACTGGGGTCCAGCAATGTGTAAACCAGTCCCAAGGGCATCAGAGGCTCAATCAGCAGGCTTGGTAAGTTGCTCAGAGCCCCAGGATTGGAGGTAGGCATAGACATGAGGAGTCTTTAGGATGAGCTTTGAAAGAGAAAGTGGTTACAGCCTCAGGAAAAGAGATTCTTCCGGATGAAAGCTGGGGACCCTTTACCCCAGTGTCCCTGGGGTTTCACACTGAGGCAGGGCTGTTGATCCATAGTCCCCAGCCCTGGCAAACCCAGCAAGCCAAGTCTCTGCCGTACCCCCTGGGAAGGGCGTCAGCCTTGTGCCTCCTGGAGCTTGAAAACAGAGCAGCTTGGGACAAGACCAGCACAGCCTGGCCATGGCTTTGAGAGTAGGTGGATTCTGGCCCCAAGAGGGCTGTGTTGGAGCTGGGGAGGTGCTGGGGGAGGTGCTTTGGGATCTTGCAGTGTCTTGGCTGCCCTCTGACCTGGCCGAGGTGGAATGTGGTGTGATAGGAAAGGGTGTGTGGGGTGTGTGTGGGTGGCCTCCCGTGGCTGGCCTTTGCCAGAGTGGAGATATCACCACTGTGGCCTGAGTTCCCACCTCCAGTGATACACTGAGCAGCTCTTCTGGTAGTCATAGGCTCCACGTCCAGCCTCTCCTTGGAGCCTCCAGGTGGCCCATGGCAGACCAGAAGTAGGAAAAGCAATGGGACACAGGAAGTATATCCTTGAGCTGTCTGAGAGGGGTGCAGCCTTTCCCAGCCTGTACGTTCAGCTACTAACGGAGGCCATGGTGGGGCAGAGTGTCCCTTTCAACTTGGACATCTGCCATCCAGGGCCTAAGGAACATCCCTCAGGAGGCTCAGCCAGGCCACTTCTAAGGGTCCCTTCTTTGGGATTGTGGTGACCCTTATTATACTACCAAAAAGAGGTCACAGGGTACTCCCTCACTGGCGAGGGGCCACTGGCCATTTCCTTCTGCTTTTCCTTCCCTCCTCTAGAGAACTAAGGCCACCCAGAATTTGTGACACATGATACAATTTGGAGTGAACTGCTCAGACCAAATGCTACACTTAGGAATGTTTCAGGGCCTGCAGCTTCTCATAGACCTGACACAGAATTCCATGGCCCTGCAATCTGTTCCATGAGTCCAGAGGCAGGAAGAGATGTCCCCTGCATGGTTTTTAACCCTTGCCAGAGCAAAGGTTGCTACTGAGTATGAGAATAAAACATGAGAGCTGCTATTTCCAAGGATTCTTGCCTAGAAAAGGGAGTATTTAATATTTAATGCATGGATTGAAGATAGCTAAGCATATAATTTAATAAATATGAGTGTTTGGGGGTTGCAAGATAAATTTTTTATTGATAGATCATGTGTAATCAAAGCCGCATGGTGCCCTCTGTTCTTGTGTTTGGAAAGCTTTGTGCTTGAGAGGGAGATGGGTGGGAACAGGGGTGGGAGCCTGAAGGCCAGGGCTCTCCTTCTTGCTGCTGCCCCAAGGAGGATTTGGTGAATTGGGTGGTGGGTAGGAGGGATCAGACTAGACTGGACAGGTAGGGGATCTCGGCTCCCCATCAGGATTCCCAAGGTCTACAAATGCCCTCCCTGAA